CTGGAGTGAATTTCTTTCATTATTTTCCACAGGTTCAACTGCTATTTTAAAGTAGCTACAAACTACAGAAAAAAAAAAAGAAGCTTAACTCACAGACTGAACCAAAACATACACATTAGAATTCCAATTATAGTATTTTCGATGTACCCAAATACCCAAGTTCTTTCTCTGCCTTTTCTTAAGTATATTATATCTTCTACTCTCTTACTCGTCCCTCTCAATCCTTAACTTCATAAACTAGCTTGTATGACTTCATACCAAGATTAGATGGCATGAATTCCATCTTTCTTTTCCACATTTAAGAAGAAAAAAAGTAAAAGACACTTTCTTAACATCTTCCAATGTCTAGAAAGCTAATTAAAGGTAAAGCACATTTCTCTAATCTTATAATTTAACTTATTACTAAAATATGTTTATTGGTGGAGAGGCTGGAGACTAAGTACAAATATGCAAGTATAAATAATTTATTCATTTTATTTTAGCCCGTATAGTAACTGCTCACTTGGATAAAATACAAGTAAAGGACACAATTATGCATCTACATCTAAAGCAAGTAATTAATTTTCTCAGACACAAAAATACTTAATGCTTAAACTTGTTCTGAATTTCATGTTTTATAACAAGGAATACTAGAAAACGTTTCCTTAACCATTTTAAGTTATAAAATGTCAAAAGAAATAATTTACAATTAATTTTCATCTTGTGGGAGACTAGCGGGACACAACCTCTAACCACAGCTAAATCATGCCATAACAAGGAAAGTGCAATCCAGAAAGATTCAGTCACATAAAATACTGGGTTAACAAAATGATCAAGGCAAGCCTGTACAACTAGCTAGCGAGGAGTCCCTGTGCAATTCAAATCTATCCTGGCCCAGGCTGCAATTTGGCACCACCTGGTGGCAACCGTCCATTCTAGTGCCAATATCCCTGGAGTCAATTCTGGGTTCTGCGTCTGGCTGGGGATTCTAGGACAGTAGCCACAATCCCAGAAATCTCCAGGTTCAGTTGGACTCATTTTGATATGAATATGGTGCCAGAACAACACTGGGGACAAGGACACCGACTTTCAGCTTCCCTGCTTCCAGAAATGACTGTTTGCTGTTTCTCCACATAGCTTCACTCACCCACCACCACTAACCATCTTAGAGTCAATAACAAAACCAAAACCACACCCATCACTGTTGAGTTGATTCCAACTCATAATGACCCTATAGGACAGAACAGAACTGCCCCATAGGGTTTCCAAGGCTGTAAATCTTTACAGTACAGATTGCCACATCTTTCTTCTGTGGAACAGCTGGTGGGTTCGAACCGCTGACCTTTCAGTTAGCAGCCAAGCGCTTAACCACTGTGCCACCGGAGCTCCTATCCTTAGAGAATACAGGTTAATATATCTAATTTTGTTACCATGGGATGCATTTTCAAGAATTTTTTTTTAAACAACAAAAACAAAAAAGTTACAAAATTCTCAAAAGGATTACATACCAAAGTTTATGCGGCTATGTGAATTATTTAGAAATAATCATGTACTTTATCATAACAATAATCCTATGGTGGCTGGTTTTGTGTGTCAACTTGGCTAGGCTATGACTCCTGGTTGTTTGGCCAGACACCAGTCTCGTTGCTGTTACGGAGTAGTTTTATGTGATTAAATTAGTTGACCTTGGGTACAGCAGATTACCTTCCTTAATGTAATTTAATGTAATATAATGCAATTACCTTACATCTAACGTAATATAATTACACTGTAATAAAATCAATTGCAACTGTAATATAATCAAGCAACCTGTTGACTTTGCAGGCAAAAAGATAGTTTCCCTAGGGTGTGTTCTGCTTCCAGACTACAAACAGATTGGAAGAATTCTCATACACACTCTTCCAGCTGCCTGACCTACAGAGGTTGGGATGCAAGCCTACCTACTGCTGGACCTATAAGTTTTGGAACTGCCAGCCCGTCGCTCCCCACAATCGCTTTAGTAAATTCCTGGAAGTAAATCTCTCTTTATGCATGTATCTCATTGGTTCTGTTTCTCTAGAGAGCCCTAAGACAAATTACACAAAACTTAACAAAAGCCTATGTAATTCATAGCAGAACTGAACTACAGAACTAACAGTACTTATCTGTAAAACAGAAATAAAATCATCTATGCGTAGACAGAGTCGTTCCTTGGTGGTGTAAATGGTTAATGTGCTTGGCTGCTAACCAAAAGGTTGGCAGTTTGAGTCCACCCAGAGGCACATAGGAAGAAAGACCTGCGATTACGTCTGAAAATCAGCCATTGAAAACCTGATGGAGGATGGTTCTACTCTGACACACATTGGGTATCCATGAGTCGAAAATGACATGATGGCAACTGGTATTCCAAAGGTCTAGCTCCTGCCCAGATCTTTCTCCTGAGATTTAGAATCTTACAGCCAACTTTTCTATTTAGATTATCTCACACATACTTCAAATAAAGCGAAACTAAATTTATCAAGTTTTCTTGTTAAAGCCTTGTTTTTTTCTAATGTTAGGAATTGTGTCAAATCCACTCAACTGTGCAATCCAGAAATCTGGGTAACATTCTTAACTTCTCATACCCAATCCAATCTAATCAATGAGTCTTATTGGTCTACCTCCTAGACATTTTCCAATATGTCCCATTCTCTCCATCTCTACTGCTACTAGTCCAGTTCTATCATCACCTCTCATCTTGACGGACACAACAGCTAAAAGTGGTCTCTTTGTCTACCGCCCTATGCTCCTCCAATCTACCCTTAACATTGTACAGTGGTCTTTTCATATAATAATATCATATAAGAAACTATATTTTTCGAGATGTATACTTAGATTAAAAAAGAATAAAGAAAATCAAGTAAGTTATTAGCATGTCAGAACAGTATACCTTTATAAAGAAAGGAGTTAAACAAAAAGCGGCTAAAGAATATCTCTGTGGCACTGGAAATATTCTACTTCTTGAGATGAGTCGTAGTTACATAGGTATTTAATTTATAATTATTTGTTACACATTGAAAAAAATGTGTGATTCTTAACATGTGCTGTATTTTACATACACGTACAGGCAAATGTATAAAAGGTTAAAAAAGAGAACAGTCATAAGAAAGTAACCAAATGAAAAACAGTGCATTTTAAATAATGGCCCAAAATTTCTTTGAGCTACCTTGAAAAATATCAGGATTCAAATGTAAAGGCTAGTTTAGGATTTCAAAGGCCTTGATCACAGAAATGATTATGGTGCTCCCACTGGTAATTACAATTTAAATACGAAAATACAAACTATGTGTAAGGAAACAAAAAATGTTTTTATTTTTCCCCAAGACAAAAATTTTTATTCTTTTAAATTAATGTAATATATACATATAATTAGAAAAAGAAACCCCATAAATTTGATATCCCTGCTTTGCTGATGCCCAAAGTATATATTTAGTCTGTCTACTGGTAATATAGCACTGAATAATCACTTAAGATTTTTTTACATTATAAATTCTTTGTCAGATACATTGTTAACAAAATCCTAAATTATGACTACATCATAATCTTTCAAAGCTCAAAAAAGAGAAAGAACAATGCTGGCAGAAGAAAATAACCACTAAATATTTAAGTGACAAGTGAATGATTTCTTTCATGTTCAGTGTTTGCCAAGTCTAAGTTAACTTCCTTGGGCATATACTTTTACTCAGACTTAAAAAAAAAAATCAAACAAGTAGATAAAAATCTATGCATGTATGCTATATTTATGAAAAAAGTAATGATTAACTCATAACAAGTTACTGTATCTTAAAAAAAAGATAGTAGTCTATAAACTAGAAAAGCTGTCATAAACTGTATGTCTACTCCCTTATTGCCATAAATAACATTTCCACAAAAGAAACCCAAGAAAAAAAATCATACTGCTCAAAAGGATTTCAGCATTATCATAAAAATCGCTCCCAGTCTGCTGTATTAAACCAATTTAACAGTATTTAAAAAAATCTTTGCTAATTTACTACCCCAAGGATAATTCTACATATGTAGCTCTTACATATTTCTCCCAGCAGAGGTCAACTTATTATACTATGTCAATAGAGCGGCTTTTTCCTCTAGAATTAAATAGTAGAATCTTAAAATTTTCTGCTAGTATACTCCTAGTAGAAACGATGTTACTGTGCTAATTATAGATTATTTGATTTAAAGAATCACTGGCAACAATCAAAATATCATACACTCATAATAGTACTGATAAACTAGCATGACAATTAAGTCGAATTCAAAATAATTTCCCCATTTTAAACATAAGTTCTCAAAAACCACATGAATTACAATGACAGTGTATAAAAATAATCGCCATTGAAATAAGGAAGCAAGTATTTCCCCCTAATACTTCCAATGACTAACCTTGGAGAACCTAACAAATACTGATCTAAATTTAACTGTATGAATAAAAAAGATCTTTCTTTAGAATTATCTAATATGATACCTTTCAGGGCCAGCAGCTAAGTGAGGGCACTAACATTTCATATTACTTTTCCAGTTTTAAAAAGTTTCCAGGAGAAATCCCTGGCAGGGTAGAGAAAGAAGTACTCGTATCTCTTAAAAGCCAGTTGCCATTAAGTAGATTTCGACCCATGGTGACCGTGTATGTGTCTGAATAGAACCGTGCTCCACAGGGTTTTCAATGGCTGATTTTTCAGTAGATTTCCAGGCCTTTTTTCATCTCCACCCTCAATCTCAACTGAGGTAAAGGCAAAAGGACAAGTTACCAGGGTAATATAGTGGGAATACCAAAGTAAAGAAGCCTAAAGTCTGATAAACCTTGTTCTAAAGCTATCAAAGATTTTGAAACTTTAATGTTCCCATATATTTGGGCTTAGATTTATGTCACATTTTCTTTAATGCATTCAAAAGGACATTATCTTATAGAAACAGAGTTTAATTTCAATAAAACTCTTATAACCTCTAAAAAAAGAGAAATAAAATATCACACAAATATCCTACTTTTTTTTTTTTTTTTTTTTTACCTGTTTTCCCGTTCATACATTTCCCTAGAGGCACTTCGAAGCTGATCAATCTCTTGATTAGTTTTCAATCTTATTTGTTCCAGTTCATCACGCAGTTTATTTTCATATTCTGTTTTATAATGATCCCTGCAAAGAGTCAAAGGGAATATCCACTAATTTTTTTATGTAAAACAAAAAGGCTTTTGCAAGATTCGTAAGATTTTAAAATCTTATGTCCTATTTGTAAGAGTTTAATATCTTATGTCAAATATACTGTCTACATATACTATGTTACTTGAAAAACTTAACTATTACATATAAAGTTGTATAATTCCTAAAAATACTGTTTCAAACTAGCCCCATCTAAGATGTCAGTTTGTTAAACATACTGCCCTAAAGGATTAATTACTATATAAACATTAGTAATTCATACTGAATAATTATTCGCCTTCAAAAGTATTTTACTAATAGTTTTTAATGCATATGGCCAGAGGCTTGAAACCTGACGCATATGATATGGCTCTCCTTTAAAAATAATAATACGGTGTGATACATGCTGAGACAAATAATATCAACAAAAATATAAAAACAAAATGATTCTAACTGACTCTTTACAAGGCTACTGTAATCTCTTAGAAATGTCAAAGGATTATACAGAGTATTAACAAGAAGAGCACAAACTGATGAAAAAATACTACAGGCTAGGGAAAAAGTTATGAATATCTAAAGCACTAAAGGATAAAAGTTAAATTTTGCTTTAGTTTTGAATGTGTTGATAAAAATAATCCAAGGATTATAAATCACATGAGTATATAAAGACCTCTAATAAAGTAAATGAATTATAGATGTGTATGTAATAATAAAAAATAATATAATCATGTAATGTTTTTTCACAGTTTACCACGTACCAGGAAGTAAGCTAAAGTTTTACATCTGTATTGAAATCTCATATGAACCCTATTAAGTTGTGGTTATTATGGTGGTTTCTTTTACAAAGAAAAAAAATGAGGTGGTATGGAAGTTAACATCTTGGCCAAGTTTATACATCCAGTAGAAGAGTGAAACCAGGATTCAAACACAGGGAGTCTGATTCCAAGGTCTTTATCTTAAAACAGTAAGTAATGCTGTCTCCTAATTCTCCTTTTATATTTCACACTGTCAGAAAAGGCCAGGATAGTCAGGCTTCTTATGATAAAATTTTCTTTGAGAAAGATACTCATATAGAGATACTTACATATTTACTTTCAAAAAATACATATATAGAGATCTTGGTCATAGGGAACTAAAAAGATTACTTCATAATAAAAAAGTTATAGTATATACACACTTCATCTAAAAGAAATAGGCTTTTGGATGTCTATGTTGGAAAAACCATTGTATCATTAAAAAACAAGATCAATTAATCAAGTAGAGTAAGAATGTCTTCTAGGGAAACAATATGAAGTATTATCTTAACGTCATCCTACAGACCTTCAAAAAAAAAAAAAAAATCACCAGTCTTCCCCTTAACCAAGAGTTCCCTCAAAGAAGATGGTGTTTATTTATGTCGAAAATATTTAAAATCTTGCCTGGATGTTACGTATTTTTCATACATCTCTTCTCTAGACTTTTTGGCTTCTTCAAGTTGAGCTTGCAGTCTTTCAAGGCGATCCTCCTCATGGGCACAACGAACACTAAGTTCCATGTTTTGGCGATTTAGATATTCTTTATCTTTTTGCAATAAAGTAACAGTCTGCTGTAAGGTGGCTACCTATACATGTGTAGAGACAGACAGTTCAAGAGCAATGTCCTCTTACTTTACAAGGTTGATTGTACTATTTTCTTTCATTTGTGCTTTTACCCACCTCATAAAAATTCTAAAAAAGAGCTAATTTTTACCTTCCAATTTCCAATCCAAACTGAGCTACCAAAAGTCCCTTCTTTTTGGTAATCACATCAAATAGGAAAAATGTCCCTTCCACAATTCTGCCCTGGGCTATTTTCCACTAATTCTGTATAATAAAATTCAAGTGACCATCTGTAAGCTTACCTCTTTCGATAATTCACTTCTTTCTTTAACTTGAGCTTTGTGAGAGGCTTCAAGTATTTCATGTTTTCTCCTAAGCTCAGCTGCTTCTTGTTCCACTGCATCACGCTCACTATGAAAATAAAATTCAAATACATATGTAAAATTTACATCTTTTTTTACAGTGAGCTTTTAAAAAGGTTGACTATGTTTCAGGAGGATGAACAGAGATAATCAGTAACAGTGGTCCTTTGGTCTCATTCTATGAACTATAAAGGATCTACTTTTCAAATTTAGAAGGTACTCTCTGTTTAAGACCTTGTTCAGATTCATAAGCATAAATTCACTACCTTCAAAAAAATAAATATGCAAACTACACTAACCAGTAAATGATAAAGTTTTTTAAAGTACACTTTGGTGTCTTTTCACTAATCATCTTCAATCTTATCTTGAAGTCAAAACTTTCAAAGAATTTATACATGGCTCCAGGCTTTCAGTACAGTTAGAGTAAAAAACCTCTTAAAATTTATCTCAAAGATTGCACAGCAGATACATAGGCAGGCATTCTTGTGACTATTTCATTCACAAATTATGATTATTCAGAGATTCTGAACTCCATTTTTAGACCATCTCTCTCGCCAAAACCAAGAACTAGACTGAAGCCTACAACAGGCATCCTGAAAACTGAGTGTGTTAATGTGTGTGTGTCTGTGTGTGTCTGTGTGTGTGTGTAAGCAGTGAAATGAGCAGAAAAAGAGATTTCCTATTGTGTAACTAATCCTCTCCAGTAAGAAGCAGTGCCTTTGCACTTTATCTATCCGTCTGGTATTCCTATGAAGAGGGCTGTTAAGAATTGTTTTTCTTTAGCCATTTTTCAATTAATTCATTTATAAAGCACCTTCCTGCTCCATTAACAAAGTATTAATTATATTGAAGAAAATGAAGAAATGCATAAGTTAAAACAAGAATAAGCCATAAATCCAGTAACTGAAGATGACTACCATTAATAATATTCTAGTACATATTACACAGGTATTTTGTGCTTTTATATGCAATATTTTTATTTACACAAAGTAATGATCATGCTCTCTTTGCTATGTTTGTCTTATGGAAAAAATTATAAAGCATGATATAGCAAAAAATCCCAAAACTTGCCTTCCACGATTAACAACAGTTAACATTTGTCCGTATTTGTATTAAAGTTTTGTTTTGCTTTTTAAAGGGATAAAATACTACAGCTAAACCTAAAGTCTCCTATACTTTTCTCAATCCTCCTATACCACCGCTCCCTAGATATGATCATGTGTTTTCAACACCATGCATTTTTATTACTTTTTTAATGCTTTTACTGCTAATACATATAAATATACATGTTTATTATTTTTATGTTTTATGTGTAAGTTTTTAAAAATACACAGTATCATCATGTTAAGTATAGAGCTTCACTGTGCTTTCTTAAAACCTTTAATTTTGAAATAATTTCAAACTTACAGAACTGTTCCAATAGCAAAATAAACTCCCACATACTGTTCACCCAGATTCACCAATTGTTAACATTGTCACATTTACTTTGTGATACTGACTAAATATTATTTTGTCATATCTATTCAATCTTTCTCTTTTTTCTTATTATGTGAACATGCACATACACGTGTGAATATTTTTCTCCTGAACTATTTAAGAGTGTGAATTTCCTAAGATTAAAAGATATTCTCTTATATAATCAAAGTATAATTATCAAATTCAGAAGACTTAGCTTGATACAATTCTATTTTCTAATATACAATCCATTTTCAAATTTTGTCAATTGTCCTAAAAATGTCCTTTATAGCATTTTTCTCCCCTCGGATTTGGATGTCATGTCTCTTTAGTCTCCTTTAGTCTTGAACAGTTCCTTAGCCTTTCTTTGACTTTTTGAAGAGCACCATCCAACTGTCTTATGGAATGTCCTCAATTTTCATTTGTCTGATGTTTCCTCATGATTAGAGTTAGGTTAAGCACTTTGGGTGTGGGAATATTACAGAAGTGATAATGTGTCCTTCTCAGTACATTACATGAAGCACACGATATCAGTTTATCCCATTATTGGTGATATTAACTTTGATCGCTTGTTAAGGTGGTATTGCCAGAGGTCTCAATTGTAAATTGTAAATGTGTCTTCTTCCCTTTACAATTAGTAAGTAATCTATGGAGAGATACTCTGAGACTGTAAATATTCTCCTCCCTAACATACTTTACCCAGTGGCTTTAGTTCCATTGATGATTCTGAATCAATTATTACTCTGAAGGGTACAAAATGATAATTTTCTAACTCTATTATTCCATATACACTTACTGGTTGGCATTGTACTTTAAAGATTCTCTTTCCCTATTTATTTATTGTTAGTAGTCACTCATGGATTATTATTCAATAGGTTATAATTCATTACTGTCATTATTCAATTTGACCAGTGGGAGCCCCTTCAAACTGACTACTGTGGTGTCATGCTGGAATCAGAGGTACCAGTATGATCTCATCCACAGTGTGCTAAATCATCTTCTCCATCCCGTCCACTGCCTCTGCCTACTGAAAGGGCCTAAAGATAATAACTAACAAAGCAATGACCACAACACTGAGATCTTAACCTCTAAAGACCATTCTCCTTTAAAAAAGAACCAGGATTTCTTAAGGGTTAAGGACATGAAATTACAAAATAAATCTAGGAACACTATGCTATGACAGAAAGTAAGGAATGGCTAAAAGAAAAAAAAAGAAAAAAAAAAAAGAACACATGCATTTGGCTTTTTAAAATTTAGTATTATACGTTTAACTTATCCATACAGGTCCATTCAGATCTAAAAGACAGATTTTTAACTGCTATGTAGAATTTTAATATAGAAATAAATCAATTAATCTTTCATCAATTTATTGAAAAGCACTGGAATTCCTTTTAATTTTTTGCTATTGTAAATATTGATGCAATTAACATTCATGTATTTGTCTCCTTTTGGAAATTTGTGAGAATTTCTAAAGGATATAAAAGTGATTTTTTTTTTTTTCCAGTTTACCTTGTATTTTTGTGATTGTACTTTTTTTTTAACCCATTACCTATTGAGTCATTTGACTTTTTCTTAACTGGTTCTTTATTCTAATCTAGATACTCTGCTATTCATGTTGCAGGCATTTTTTTGCTGGTCTATTGCTTGTTTTTTTAACTTTGTTTTTTGTTTAGTGGCACAAAAATTTTTACTTTCATTACCAGTCTTTTCCCTTATAATTTGTGTTTTCCATGTCTTAAGGAATCTTCCTTTATTTAAAGATTATAAAACTAATTTCACATATATTCTAATAATTTCAAGTTTTGTTTTTTCTTACATTTAGGTCTTTAATACTTCTGAGACTCTAATTTGGCGTATGGAACGAGGCAGAGATCAAATTACCTTCCTTCCACCAGGGAAAAGTCAATTACCACATCATTATTTGCCATCCTTTCTTCACTGCTTAGTAATGTCTCCTCTTTCTTGTACAAGGATCTGTATGTTCAGGTCTTTTTGAGGGCTCTCTACTTCATTATTCTGACATACTTATTATCACTGCATTAATATTAAACAGTCTTAAATTATTATACTTTTGTAATGAATACTGATATTTAGAAGAGCCTGTTTGATCTATTTGTTTCTGAGATAGGTGTATTAAAACTTCCACCTCAATTTCCTTATAATTTTAGTCACTCTGTTTCATGTATTTCTAAGCTATTTTGTCAAGAGAATGTAAGTTCATGATTACAATATCTTGCTGATCAGTTGTTCATTTTATTATTTTATAGTGTTCCCCTTAATCTTTTTAGCATTTTTTATTTTTCATATTTTCTGTGTTTTTGTTTCAGGTATGTCTGTTAAGAGCAGTATATAAGTAAACAGAGATCACAGTTTATTAGTGGTTAGCAGGGGCGGTGGGAGAGAGGGGAAAAGGAAGACAATGCTTAGGAGACACTGAGCTTCTGTTAAGGGTGATGGAAAAATTCAGGAATGGTGATAGTTAAACATCATAAAACCTGTTGCCATCGAGTCAATTTCAACACATAGTGTCATGGTTTGAACTATGTCCCCCAAAAAATGTGTGTATCAATTTGGCTGGGCAATGATTCCCAGTATTGTATGACTGTGTAATCTGATGTGATTTCCTTATGTGTTGTAAACTCTAACATTATGATGAGGTTATATGTGATGGGGTGAATATGCTTTCCATGTTGCAAGGATGTGATTTTTTGGGGGACAAAGGGTGGAATGTCATGGTTTGAATTGTGTCCCCCCAAAAATGTGTGTATCAATTTGGCTGGGCCATGATTCCCAGAATTGTGTGATTGTCCTCCATTTTGTGATTGTAATTTTATGTTAAAGAGGATAAGGGTGGGATTGTAACACCACCCTTACCCAGGTCACATCCCCGATCCAATGTAAAGGAGCTTCCCTAGGGTGTGGCCTGCACCACCTTTTCTCTCTCAAGAGATAAAAGGAAAGGGAAGAAAGCAGAGAATTGGGGACCTCATACCACCAAGAAAGAAGCACCGGGAGCAGAGCGTGTCCTTTGGACCCGAGGTTCCTGTGCAGAGAAGCTCCTAGTCCGGGGGAAGACTGATGATGATGAGGACCTTCCACCAGAGGAGAGAGAGAGAGAAGGCCTGCCCCTGGAGCTGACGCCCTGAATTTGGACTTCTAGCCTACTCGACTGTGACAAAATAAATTTCTCTTCGTGAAAGCCATCCACTTGTGGTATTTCTGTTAGAGCAGCACTAGATGACTAAGACACACAGCAACCCTCTAAGACAGAGCAGAACTGCCCATGGGGTTTCCAAGGAGTGGCTGTTGGATTTGAACTGCCAGCCTTTTGGTTAGTAGCTGTAGCTCGCTGTAGCTCTTAACCACTGCACTGCCAGGGGTCTGTTAAACAACATGATGAACATATTTAATGTCACTGAACAGTACATGCGAAGATTGTTGAAATGGTAAATGTTTTGCTGCCTGTATATTTAGCACAATAAAAAAAAGGGGAGAGCAGCATGTTGGTAATTGTCTTTTAATATGAGTTTTATTTGTCTACATATCATTTAACTATTATTATATTTGGTATTCTACCGTCTTACTTTTAAAAAATTGCCAATAATTACATTTACCTATGTATTTTATCAATTCCTGTATACACGGTTTCATGCTTCTTACACCTGACCTGTAAGCTCACGTTTCTTCTTGCTCAAGCACATCTTTAGTAGTTCTTCCAGCTGAATACTGTGTATTTATACTTTGTATTTCTGAAGTTATTTTGCTTTCTCTTGAATGACAGGTTAGGGAAGAATAGAATTTGAGGGTGAAGTTATTTACCCTCAGTACTTTGAAGATATGCCATTTTCTTCTAGTACCTTTTACTGGTGAAGAAAAGTCTGCTATTGGTTTAATTGTTGCTGCTTTGTGGGCAATGTCATTTTTTCCTCTGGTAGCTTTTGTAATTTTTACTTTATCCTTTATGCTCTTCAGGTTACTAGAGTGCATACAGGAGTAAATTTATTTTTATTAAATCTGCTTGATATTTGTGTGCTCTGAATGTGAGAGCTCATCCTTCAGTTCTGGAAAAATCTCTTCAAAACTGTTTTTCTGTCATTCCTTCTATTCTTTTTTGGAATTCTTATAAATGTACTTAAAAAAACAAAAAACAAACCTATTGTCATCAAGTCTATTCCAACTCATAGCTACCCTATAGGACAAACTAGAACTGCCCTGTAGGGTTTCCAAGGAGCAGTCGGTGGATTCCAACTGCCGACCTTTTAGTTAGCAGCTGAATTCTTAACCACTGTACCACGAGGGCTCTAAAATGTACTGTAGGATACTCTGAATCTGTCTTTCATGTATCTTAATTGCTCTCTCATTTTTGTAATTAATTTATGTCTGGGTTCTGTCCCGACAGCATTCCACATTCCAATTCACCAATTCTCTTTTCAACTGTGTTCAGGCTAGGCTTTATTCTGTCCATTACGTTTTTTCCTTCAATTGTAGCTTTTTAATTTCTGGAATTTTTAACTGGTACCCTTTCATATTTTATCTATTTTGTTTTGTTTTATAAATTCCTTGTTTTTCTTTATTTCTTTCTTGATATTTCTGAGCATCTCAAACATAATTATTATGAAGTATCTCCAAATTGTTCTATTATTTTGATTTGTAATGACCATTTCCTAATTATTCCTTTTGTCTGTTGGGCTAAATTATGTTAATTTTCCTCATGCATAGCAGGGCTTTAATTTGTAGGCTCATCTTGATGGGATTTTTGAGTTGTTTTTAACTTCTGTACTCATCCTTTCTTCCCTAGTAGTTTTGCTTCCACCTAGCTTTCTACAACTTTTAGTTCACTACCGTGTCTTATTTGGCTTACCAAGGTATCTCGATCTAGTCTCTAACACCATTTGAGGCTTTTCTCAGGTCCTGGTTGTGAAGTTCTCTGCTGCTTCTAGTCTTCCTATATATGCCACTTTGTATAAGCCACAGCCCTCAAGGATTCAAGGCAGCTTTTTTCCCCACAAAGCTTGGAGGCCCTCACTTCACCCAGCCCCTGATTTCAAGCATGATTCCCATTTTTAAAACCCGTTATCCTACACAATTCAAACTCCCAGCTGGTTTTACATTATTCTGAGATCACAAACCCAAAAGGTTCATAGTATCAGCCCCTCTTGTTGGTTTTTCTCTTCCAATTCTAGCACATGAAGATGTTTATCAAGTTTTTGATTAGGGCTGTATTTTCCCTAAGTTTCTATTATTAAAAAATGCAAACATAAAAAAAGATATGAAATAACGAACTTTCACGTTTCTATCACCTAGATAATTCAATAATTATCAACTCATGACTAATCTTTTTCATTATCTTCCATTCATAGGCCCCTCGGATTACTCTGATGGCTATGATTTTTAGTTTTCTCTTTTACATATTATTGCTATATGTTTATAGTGGCAGAGAGGACATCAAAATCTCCACTCATACTATCATCTTACCATCGCACGTGACTTCATTTTTAATTGCTTCTTTTGAAATCCAACTTTATTCTAAGAGCCCACTGAGTATAGGGCTCATGTATTTCAAACATTTAATTCTAATAATTACCATATTTTGGCATAAAAACACAAACCACAATTAACCAGTTACGATGGTAGGAACAGCAATGCTAAATCTCCAAATCTTTTGAATCTTTGTAAATTCACTTATAGTGTTAGACAATTTATAGGGCATTCATTCATTCAACAACTATTCACTGAGTGACACTATATCTCAAAAATTATTTTTAGGTGCAGGGAGATGCAGCAGTGAACAATAAGGACTGCTTATTGTTATAACAAAAAGGTCGCTCCCTTTATATGTCATATATATGAAAAAATGTATTTAAAGACCTTCATAAATATTTTATTTGATCCTCAGTTTATTTAGCACAGTTATTTGTATCAGCACCATCTCATGGATAAAATTTAGGCTCAGAATGGTAAAAGATTTATCTAGGAACATATAACTAAGTAGTGGCTCATTAAATTAATGTACAAAGAACAGAAAGTATATTTCTGTTAAATGAAGATAATTTACCATAACTACTTAGTAGCAACAAACTGGGAAATATATATATTCTAAGAAAGAGTTATTTTCCAAAAAATTGTGCACTTTTTGCCATCAGAGAGATGCAAATCAAAATCACAATGAGATACCATTTCACTCCGACTAAAATGGCTAAGATTAAAGAAAAACTGAAAACAACATATGTTGGTGAAGATATGGGAAAATTAGAACCCTTTCCCATTGCTGGCGGGAATGCAAAATGGTACGGCTGCTGTGGAAAACAGTGTGGCAGTTCCTCAAAAAAATAAAAATAGAACTACCATATGACCTAGCAATTCCACTCCTAGGTATATACCCAAAAGACTTGAAAGCAGAGTCTCAAATAGAGCTTGTACACCAGTGTTCACTGCAGCACTATTCACAATAGCCAAAAGGTGGAAACAACCTAAATGCCCATCAACAGATGAATAGATAAACAAAATGTGGTACATAAATACAATGGAATACTACTCAGCCAGTAGGAGAAGTGAAGTCTTGATACATGCTACAATATAGTTGGAGCTGGAAGACATTATGCTGAGTGAAATAAGTCAATCACAAAAGGACAAACATTTTATGACCTCACTTATATATAAAAAGACTAGAAAAGGAAAATGTACAGAGAACAAAGTTTATTAGTGGTTACCAGGGGTAGGGGGGAAAGTAAAAGGGGGCGTTATCAGTGATGGAAAAATTGCCTGGAGTAAGGCTAGGGCTGCATAGCCAATTATTGTAATTGCTGTTACAATAGTTCAACTTAACTAGTAAAAAAAAGTCTGCCTTGAGCATTATGCTCTTTTAAGAACTATCTATATGGGATCAAATTGACAACAGCAACTTGAAAGATTAGATAGAAATCTTAGAAGGCAGTGAATTTATGTTAATGGAGGAGGAACAACTCAGAAAAGGAGGGTGAGAATGGTTGCAGAGCCTGAAGAATGTAAATAATGTCATTAAATGGTACATGTACAAACTGTTGAATTGGTATATGTTTTGTTGTGTATATTCTCAATTATAAAAAAAAGAGTGTGTATCTTTTGTTAGAAAGGATTAATTGAACTTAAGGGAAAACTGTGAAGTATTTAAATTGATTTCACAACATAAAAATAATCACCAAAAAACATTTTAAAAATATTTACACATTTGAGATTTTGTTGTTGTTTTTAGGTGTCGTCGAGTTGGTTCCAACTCATAGTGACACTACGTACAAGAGAAGGTAACACTGCCTGGTCCTGCGCCATCCTCACAACTGTAGCTATGTTTGAGCCCATTGTTGCAGCCACTGTGTCAATCCATCTCGTTGAGGGTCTTCCTCTTTTTTGCTGACCCTAATTTATCAAGCATGATGTCCTTCTCCAGGGACTGGTCCCTCCTGATCATATGTGGGACGACATCTCACTATCCTCGCTTCTAAGGAGCATTCTGGCTGTACTTATTCCAAGACAGATTTGTTTGTTATTCTGGCAGTCCATGGTATATTCAATATTCTTCACCAGAACTATAATTCAAAGGCATCAATTCTTCGGTCTTCCTTACTCACTGTCCAGCTTTCACAAGCATATGAGGCAACTGCAAATACCATGGCTTGGGTCAGGCACACCTTAGTCCTCAAATTGACATCTTTGCTTTCCAACACTTGAAAGAGGTCTTTTGCAGCAGATTCGCCCAGTGCAATATGTCATTTGATTTCCTGACTGCTGCTTCCACCAGGCATTGATTGTGGAACTAAGTAAAATGAAATCCTTAGAAACCTCAATCTTTTCTCCTTTTATCATGATGTTGCTTATTGGTCCAGCTGTGAGGATTTCTGTTTTCTTCATGTTGAGGTGTAACCCATACTAAAGGCTGTAGTCTTTGATCTTCATCAGTAAGCACTTCAAGCCCTCTTCGCTTTCGGCAAGCAAGGTTGCGTCAACTGCATATCATAGGTTGTCAGAGTCTTCTTCCAGTCCTGATGCTGCGTTCTTCTTCATAACGTGTAGGTTCTTGAATTATTTGCTCAGCATACAGACTGAATAAGTACGGTGAAAGGATACAACCCTGATGCACACCTTTTCTGACTCTAAACCACGCCTATTCCCTTGTTCTGTTCAAATGACTGTCTCTTGGTCTATGTGCAAATTCTGAATGAGCACAATTAAGTGTTCTGGAATTCCCAATTCTTCACAATGTTATCTATAATTTGTTATGACTGACTATGCAAAGGCTTGGTATCTAACTGGGTTCCTATCTTTTAAGACTTCACATTTTAAAAAACAGCAGCAACCTCTAACTAAAATAAAAACAAATATAAAAATACAATCTGAAGCCCAACAAACAAATCCCTAAAACTACATGCTTTTGAGAAATGAAGACAACGGTATAAAGTAGAATTAACAATGCTGATGGTAAGAATTCAGGTGACTGAGATACATGCTAAAAATGAGAACTACTATAGGCATCTTAACTACTTACCTCTTGACTTTATCATAGTTCTCTTGACGGTAATCACCTTGCTGAATTAATTGCTTTGTGTCTGCTAATTCTAAGGCCAAACGTTGACATCTATTTTGAAGCTCGGAGCAGATTCTTCGCTCTTCTTCATATGTCTATAAATTAAAGGAATAGTAAACATTTCAAACTAAATATAGTGACCAAATTCTGTATTGAATTCTTCTGTTAAACTGTGAATCTCCTTGTAACAAAAAAAAAAAAACAACCTCTCAATTTTTCTGTTTAGTAATTTTTCCCTACTTAAAGACAGGTAATCTTAAATTCAAGGAGCCCTGGTGGTGCAACAGTTAAGCACTCGGCTGCTAACTGAAAAGTTGGTGGTTCAAACCCACCCAGAAGTTTCATGGGAGAAAGACCTGACGATCTGCTTCTATAAAGACAATATAGCTTAGAAAACCCTATAGAGCAGTTCTACTCTACCACATGGGGTCGCTATGAGTCAAAAATCGACTTGATAGCACACAACAACAACAATCTTAAAATTAGAGTAGTTTATAAATTCATTTGTAAGTCATTTGTTTAAAACCTGAACTTTGTTTTTCATTTAAAAAAAAATATGACAACTATGTTTTGGTTCCTAGAATAATATATAAAATGACTAAACCAAAAAACCTACTGCAGTCTAGTTGATTCCAACTCATAGCAACCCTACAGGACAGAGGAAAACTGCCCCATAGGGTTTCCAAGGCTGTAGTCATTACGAAAGCAGACTGCCACTTCTTTTTCGAGCAGAGGAGCTGGTGGGTTCCAACCGTCAACCTTTCAAGTGCTTAACCACTGCATCACCAGGGCTCCTTCATAAAATGTTAAATGACTTTTTTTTTTAACATTTCCTGATTTATTATTATGCCTAAGATACAGAAATGAATAAAGTCCCTGTTCTTTAGGAATTCACAATTTAGAGATTAATCATGCTGTTTCAATTGTGGTATTCAGCAAAAAAGGAATTTGTGGCCCTGGGAACACATTTCTACACTGAGCTGCCCTCCACGCATCATACTGCCGCACATAAGAAAGGGATTACTGAGATATGGGGGGAGGGATAGAAGTAAAAACCTTAAAACAATCACAAGGCTCTTCAGAATCTGGCCTTGTTTACTACAGGCCTCATTTCTCATCATTCCTCATGTTCACACTTCACCCTCCAACCCTGATGGATAGCTATCCTCCAGGATTTTTAAGCATGCTGTTCCAACTACCTGAATACCTGCATATAATCTGAATATTTGCCTCCTTCAGAGCACCAACCTCACTGTATCATTTAGTTTTCTATATACCTCACCAGAACAAAATACCTTAAGGGCAGGCACTTTGTTTTGTTCATCACTGGATAGCCATCACTTTACACAGTATCTGGCATACAGTAAGAATGAAATAAATGCTTTGGAATAAATTGGGAAACAAATATAAAATATAGAAATAAATGAATATAGAAACTGGGAGGGAAAGTAGGACACGGGCTGAGTTTCCCCTCTTTGAACTCACCAGATTTTGCAACTAACCGTTAGCTCTATCCCCAGAACTCAGATGTTAGATACATTCTGTGCCAGGTAGCTGGCCAGTTAAGTGTGGTCACATTCATTCTTCATATACTGACTGAATTATTTCTATGTGATAAGTCCTGGGCTAGGCACTATTGATACAAAGATGAGGAAGACACAATTTTTGTTCTCTTTAAACTATTAAACATAACTTAGAAATGTTTGCTCCCAAATTTCTACCAAAGGAATATTTGAGAGTTGTAATTAAAGAATAACTGTATTCAGTGTGTTTTGCTTTAGTATAGTATAAGGGTATCTCTTGAGAATGGAATGCTACTACTATGTTTACTACAGGATTATAACTGAGGCTAGTCTGCTTTCTCCCAAAGGATCATCACATCTATCATTTCAGACCTAAGTCACAAAAGAAACTTTGGTTCCCCTGAAGAATAGTGTACCCTTCTAAACACTGCTCATCACGTGACTGTTTTGGAAGACAGTGTTGTATTAAGATTAGGAAAGCAAGCTCCAGAATGGAACTGCCTAGAATTGAATTACTTGCAGTTAAAACTTTGGGCAGGTTAGTTGATCTCCTGTATTTCAGTGTCTTCATATACCTCATAGAGTAATATATATATTACTTCATATACCTCATGAAGTAATCCATGTAAAGTGCTTATAAAAATGCCTAGTGCATAGTATATGCTCACTGGCTATAAACTAATATTATCATCATGCTTCCTTTTTGCTTTTGCTTGCAGAGAGATTAGACAAATTTATGGCTCAATTTTAATAACTGTACAAAGACCATAACAGAATCTTGAGGAATATAAACTTTAAAGATAAGCAAAAGATGAAAGAGTCCACAGAACCTGAGAGAATATTCAGAGACAAAAGGTGAGCCAGAAGTGTGTGTCAGGAACAACAGTAGAAGAGAGTGCACTGAGGAGAGGAAGCAGTCAATAGTATTGAGTACTACTAATAAAAAAACCACAAACTATCCAATGCTCGGGTAGGGACAGAAGGTAGACTGCCAAAGACTAAAGCAAATATAGCTGAGTTCTCAGTATGTATTTGTTTTCTGCTAAGTATTTTACATGCATTATCTCACTTAATCTTTAACTTTATGGCTGGGTATAAATATTGTCCTCTGTTTTGTACAGATGAGAAAACTGAGGCTTGGAGAGGATAAATGTCTTATAAATAGCAGAGACCACCAAAATTGTAGACAACTTTTTGTATATCTTAACAGTAAAAACAGAAGAAAGTGTAGTAGCTAGAGAAGAAAAGAGGGCTAAAGAGAAAAATTTTAAAGATGAAACAAGTTTGAAAATATTCAAATACTGATGGGAAGAACTAACAGCGAAAGAGGAATTGGTAGCAGAGAAAAGGGGCATATTTAAGAGGGTAAAGACCCTATAAAGGCATCAGGGAGTGAGATACAAAATTCAGGTGTTGAGATTAGTCTTAGATCAGAAGTCATGCTCATCAAGGCACAATTTTTCCAGCTGATACACAGTATTAAAAACTTGAATTTGAATGTCTTTAGGTAGCTCTTTCCAATTTGCCACAGACCATAGCACTAAAGCTTTACACATTTATATTATCCACTTTGCTCCTAAATGCAGACGATTTTTCTACTCGTTGAGGCCAAGACTCTTCCCATTATAAACAGTTACGAAAAAACAAACAAGAACAGAATGCGTGCAGATGTATGTTTGCAGGTTTGGTGGTAACACATTGAGGGAATTCTCTTCTGATAATTTCTATTATCTCTGTGAAATGAAGTACCAACTCATCTGCTGAGAATGAGAGGGAAAGTGGGATGCTGGGGATATGAAAAGGGTGGTGTCTACAATCATCTTTGTGAAAAAGGAGAGAGGACTAGAAAAAACAGGATTACAGCACAGTTAGGAGGACTGCAGAAATAGCTCAGTTGGGAAAGCATTACACTGAAGATCTAAAGGTCCCACACTTGATTCTGAGTTTCAGCATACACTCTGGGGCCCTGGTGGCACAGTGGTTGAGAGCTATGGCAGCTAACCAAAAGGACAGCAGTTCAAACCCACCGGTTGCTCCTTGGAATCCCTATGGGGCACTTCTACTTTGTCCTACAGGGTCGCTATAAGCTGGAATCAACTCGATGGCAATGAATTTTTTTTTAATATTTGAGGTTGGTAACAATAAATACTGTGCTTATTACTGCTTATGTGATTTTCTCCACAAGTGCTCAGACACTTGGAAAAATGAAGAGTTGAGATTCTGCCAGGTTGGTTTGAGAAAGACAGTGGAATTAGAGGAATTGAGGACATTGGCAATAGAAAGGATTAAGAGTGATAATATCATAGAGAGGGAAGAAAACACATTTAGAAAGGGATTGATAAAGAAATGAATTACATGAATTGGAAATTCTGTCAACAGATGAGTTGGAAGTAGACGACTGAAAAATATGGAAATATAGGAATTATAATCAATTCTCAGTGACAAGGAACAGAAGAAGATGGCCGTCAGACTGAATGCTAAAGTGGAGAAGCAGCAGTCACTGGAGATGAGATCAATAAAATACAAGGGTTGTGGATGAATCAGAGAAGTAACCCAGGCAGGAGCTAAAGTGGAAAGGAAGACTAAATTAACAACAAAACTTCCGTTAAATAAAGAGGAATGTTTCAGTGGTCTACAGTGAGGAAGGTTGTAAGATGGGGTATCCAATTAACATGAATGCCTAAAGAAACAGGAGTTTTTATGTGAGAGCAGAGGTGTAAACATCTAAAAATGTAACGATTTAAGAGGGGACACCAATCCCCTAATCCTGAAATATATGCAGTATAAACTTTTGGTGCAGAAGAGCAATTCCACAGGATATAAATTAATTTTCTTTAAACATAAACACCATATGACCAACTATAATCAGAGAATGTATACGTTCCACCAATACTTTCTTTAGGACTTTCCAACTGAAAAATTTCCCTTTAAATAAAATTACTACTTTTGTATTAAAAAAAAAAAAATCTGCTTCATTTATTATTAGCAAATAAATTAAGAGACAATACTGGAAAATAGGAAAAGTAGCATTTTCCAGTAAAATAAACCAAACCTCACAATTGTGTAGAACTTTGTAGTTAAGGCTGAAGAGAGCAGAAGTATTATTTTGTATTACCCCTCTGCATTCTTCCGTCTTGAGTTCAGCATCAACTTCAGAGGGAGGCCTCCAAGCCTCAACTCTGAGTTGCATGTCTGTCTTGTATTTTCCCATAGCATTTGTTTCTACCTCTGTCAGAAAACCCGGCACATGTACTGTGATCTGCCATTACTTGCCTCCTATATCATAATGAAAAACTTAAGGAAGTTTTCTACAATCCTAGTACCTAGTACTCTATTATACAAAAGATTTGCAATTAATGTCTGTAGAAAAGGAGGACATTAAATAAAACAAAAGAAGCAAAGACAAAACAAAATAACAACAAAAACTTTTTCAAACATAAATAAGGGAACACACATAAAATTCTAGGCACCAGCCCTTTCTAACTGAAATATTTCTACATAACAGTAAGTGAGTTAACAGCAAGTCTTAATTTCTTTTTAAATTATACTTTACGTAAAAGTTTACAGCTCAA